ATAACGTGATGAAGGAGAAAAGGACCAAAAATTTGAATGATCGTCTAGACGACTTCCTGGGTAGGTGGTGTCAGGGTATGCACATCTAAGTCATTCCACCGAGCTGCGGTGAGGAAACTCATACGGGACTCCGCCGACGGTCTCTGCAGAAAGAATATCACTGATTGAGGTGTTCAGAAAGTGGGCTCACGCAAAATGCTCAGGTGTGAAACTGGAGCCTCATGCTATTTATCGTTAAAACTCAGTGTATGTTCTCATTGCGTCCAGGTAGCTAGGAAAAAGTGCTAGTTACTGTCCGGTCAGAGGTAGTCTCAACACTGCGCTCACCAGTAGTGGTGAAGGATAGCATTCATGTTACCCGGAATAAATCGAAAAGGTACGCCGAATTTTCAGCCGCAAAGAAAGACAAAGTGAACTTAGCAACTCAAGCACTACTCGGTGTTGATCCAAAAGGATCAAACCTTAAAGCCAGAAAGAGTTGAACGCTAAAACACCGAAATGTAGAAAACCCACGTAGATCAGCCAGAAACGTAAGGGAAACTTTTAGAACGACCGTTCATGTGTGCCGAAGTCCCTGGAAGTGCAATTGCACGAAGTTCCGGTGAATTTAAAAGTCCTGAAAATAAGGATAACATCTCTTGCTTCAAACGTTCAGGCATTTAAAAGATCACGTAGGGCTTGAAATCAATTAGTAGAGAAAAACTGTGCCAAGTCACAGAGGATTCTGGATGTTACACGAGAAAAGTACAAGGTAGTACCTGAAATCCCCAGGGCTCCATATACGTGGAACACTAGCGGCAAAGAATAATTGAACAGGCGGCCAGCGAGGAACGCTCAATACAAGCAACACGCTTCAAGGCAGATGGATGTGAGTAGATCATCTGCGGTAGTCATTGAGGTAGTATTGGGAGGTGGCTACCGAAAAAGCTGTCTTCTGACGGAGTTAGAGGAAAATAACGAAAGCGATAGGCGACTAGACGACTCCAAGACTACTGCACCTCTTAGAAAAACCACCCACGGAGATGAACCCTACCTTAGGCGTACAGCAAGCCTGTTAATAGAAGAAATACCAGACACGTTCAAAAATTCATCATCATCATTCATCATTGTGCAGCGTAAGACAGTGAAGCGAACTTCGCAGAATCCAATCAACGGTGAAGTTGAACAACACTGAAGATAGCGGACATCGTTGTCTTACTCTTGACCTCAGATCAAATGGACGAGACTCTTCGCCGTAGGCACGGGCTTTGGTTTGGGCGTTGTATGATTTCACTGTATTGACCAACCTTGCAGGGACACCATCTGCAAGCATTATCTTTCACAGTGACTCGCAGTTTACTGAATCGAATGCGGTGCGAAAGTCAATGAAACATGTAGCGAAAGGCGCTGAAACTCGTATCGATATTCCAGAATTCGCCTTGAGATGAAAATCTGATCGATACATCCTTTGTCGGGTTGGAAACCTTGGTTTGGTCGCGTACGTGCATGCCTCATGGTAACCGGTGGTTCGAGACCCTGAGTGGTATGCCTGAATGTCGTAAACAGTGGCGCTCGCGCATCTACCCATTATTTTTGCGATTTCAATCTATATGAATATATATGAATATATCTTGCCCTTGAATTTGCTTTCAACATTTCAATCTTCCTTCTGGTCTTCCATCCAATTGGGCAACCAAAGTTCAGCCATGTTTTACAACCATTACCATACATTTTCATGCGCCGGTTTTGTTGTTTTCTCTTGGCTGCCCATTTGAATAAAGAGTGGAAAAAAGACAGCAACCAAACCCGGTGCACAGAAGTGTATGGTTAATAGGTGTAATAATGAACTGAACTACAAAGGAAGACGTTCCGCGTCAAAGTGTAGCAGGAAACCTCGGACGCGGCTCAGTACTAGGTCGTATACTGGAGCGGCAGGGAGCAATTTTTCTCCTACAGTATGGTAAACGAACGGAATAAATTACCACCCACAGTATTGGCAGTTATCTCTAATGCTCATTTCAAATGAAGGGTAGACAACTGCTGGGACGAGGTGTTCCTGGAGTATGACTAGCGGCAGTTTCACAGTTACTAACCCCGTCTCCCTTACCCAGCGTTTCCCCATCACACTCACTTATCCGCCACTCACCTCACGCACGCTACTATAATACATCACAGTCCAGGTTAACTTTCATGGCCGGCGTAATAGTTCGCTGAGGTGCGGCACCTTTCAAAAGATGTACGCTGCTAATCTTCCGAGGATAATCCTGCTTTTCATCTAATCTCTTGTATGTTCAACATCTTACATAACTGGTATCCGACTTTGTAAAGACTCCGAAACGGCTTTTCGCTTACCGTATTTGGAATATGATACTGGATAACGTGATGAAGGAGAAAAGGACCAAAAATTTGAATGATCGTCTAGACGACTTCCTGGGTAGGTGGTGTCAGGGTATGCACATCTAAGTCATTCCACCGAGCTGCGGTGAGGAAACTCATACGGGACTCCGCCGACGGTCTCTGCAGAAAGAATATCACTGATTGAGGTGTTCAGAAAGTGGGCTCACGCAAAATGCTCAGGTGTGAAACTGGAGCCTCATGCTATTTATCGTTAAAACTCAGTGTATGTTCTCATTGCGTCCAGGTAGCTAGGAAAAAGTGCTAGTTACTGTCCGGTCAGAGGTAGTCTCAACACTGCGCTCACCAGTAGTGGTGAAGGATAGCATTCATGTTACCCGGAATAAATCGAAAAGGTACGCCGAATTTTCAGCCGCAAAGAAAGACAAAGTGAACTTAGCAACTCAAGCACTACTCGGTGTTGATCCAAAAGGATCAAACCTTAAAGCCAGAAAGAGTTGAACGCTAAAACACCGAAATGTAGAAAACCCACGTAGATCAGCCAGAAACGTAAGGGAAACTTTTAGAACGACCGTTCATGTGTGCCGAAGTCCCTGGAAGTGCAATTGCACGAAGTTCCGGTGAATTTAAAAGTCCTGAAAATAAGGATAACATCTCTTGCTTCAAACGTTCAGGCATTTAAAAGATCACGTAGGGCTTGAAATCAATTAGTAGAGAAAAACTGTGCCAAGTCACAGAGGATTCTGGATGTTACACGAGAAAAGTACAAGGTAGTACCTGAAATCCCCAGGGCTCCATATACGTGGAACACTAGCGGCAAAGAATAATTGAACAGGCGGCCAGCGAGGAACGCTCAATACAAGCAACACGCTTCAAGGCAGATGGATGTGAGTAGATCATCTGCGGTAGTCATTGAGGTAGTATTGGGAGGTGGCTACCGAAAAAGCTGTCTTCTGACGGAGTTAGAGGAAAATAACGAAAGCGATAGGCGACTAGACGACTCCAAGACTACTGCACCTCTTAGAAAAACCACCCACGGAGATGAACCCTACCTTAGGCGTACAGCAAGCCTGTTAATAGAAGAAATACCAGACACGTTCAAAAATTCATCATCATCATTCATCATTGTGCAGCGTAAGACAGTGAAGCGAACTTCGCTGGTCGCTGCTAAACTCAAAGCATGCAAGGCAAGTGAGGATGTGTAGAGCGGATATGGATGATGCCTATTTTCAAGGACGGGAAAAGAAAGCGAATCTCTATGGTTGACACAGATTGCACAATCCAGCTGTGTGTACATGCGATTTCAAGCATTCTGGTTCGATAAGAAGTGACTGCAAGATCGCCATTGCTGTTGATTCGCAGCCATAACCTTAAATGTCTCCAACCCTCCGGTTACGGAGTCTTTTGGACCCGAACCTAGAGGACGAGAGACACATACTCCAACTAATCGCTCTGTGCATTTCTTCATGTCTCCTCTCCACATCATCTGCTGGTCTCCATGTGGCTCTCTCCAGCCTGTAACAGCCACTGCATATAAGGCGCTCTACGGTAGATGACCGTTAGATATACGCAAAACGTGTCATAACCAACGAGGTTTACTGAGCTGAATTCGATGTGCTGGTAAATTCATGTTCACTGCATCCCCAAACACCTGACGACTTATAGACTACCAACCCGCTCGCTCCATTCCACTTTTGCCAGACTACGTAAACATCGATTGTCGAAAACTGCTAAACGACGGATGTCTTCTACCCGCAAATTCATGGTCTCAGAACCGTAAAACAGAACTGGTTGCGCAGTGGCGCAGTACACGCGACTTTTCAACTTCAGTGAAACGTCTCGTGAAGGTCATGACAGCAAACCGACAAGAATGGCTTTTTTATGTCGAGGTTGTGAAAGTTTGGTAGCCTCGGTGGGATTCGAACCCACGCATGGAGATCGCCTGCGCATTTTTATTGTTATTTCTTATCGGGTCAGAATGCTTGAAAAGTTGTGCATGTACAGTTGATCTGTGCACTATGTGTTGAATATGGAAGTCCACTTTCTTTTCCGGCCTCCAATTAGGTCTGAACCATATTCATCTTATGCTTTCTGAATTACTTTATGTACATTGACAACTTGGCAGCGATCAGCGAATTTCGCCTCATTGTATCTCGCGGTACGATGATGCCCAAGGGGTCAGATTGTCGTTGTTTGGAGACGCTGGGAGATACGGCTGAGAACAGAAGTCCGTGGCGCAATTGCTATGCGGTCTGCCTGTTGAAATCTCGTGTCTCGTAAAAAAAAGAGAAACGAACACAAAGTCTATCGAAAAGCATTCGGTGAAACAAACAAACAAAGTATTTTTCTTATCCACTGTTATTGTTCGACCCCATTTCAATACTGTTCCGTTTTCTCTCATTGTTGTTTCGTTGGCACCGTGCTTGTTTGTAAGCCGGTGATAGATATAAATATCTAGTTTTTAGTCTCCGGCAGTGTCCGCTGGATGTAAGACGTGTAACACTGAGAATATCTGTTTCACAAATCTCTTTGTCGGAAAAAGGTGAAGCATTGTTGATCCAAAATACTGTGCTTATGTTTCCATAGATGCTTGTTATCTTCCCGATCATTTATTACACTTTAGACACTAATTGAACTGAAAAAACTGTATAAAGTTTCGATGCCTCATGGATCTATTGAAGGCTGAAATTGCGAAAAAGCGGAACTATCTTGAAAGCACTAATTTGATTGTAAGTTCTCCATGCGTCTTGATTCTGATTTGTGTCACCCGGAAATCCAATAGGGAGAAAAAAAGTATTTCAAGAGATCTGCTCTACGACAGAAAGAAGAGGAGGAGTACTTCGCGAAATCAAAACGAGCCAAGGACATAGCTGACGACAGTGCCGAGTCTTCTTTACTAGAAAAAGTAGTTCATTACCTCAAATATGTTCTATACCTAAATTATCTGATCTTGCAGAATGAAGAAGAGAACTTGTTGTTAAAAAAGTTTGAAGAACGCAGTCGAGAGGAACGTGAAAAGAGCAAGCTGATGCCTCGCAAAGAGGTAAATTCCATAGAAGATGCCGAACTAAATTTCATGTAATCCATAGGTGATTCGATTATTACGTGAACGTAATCAGCCAATTCGTCTATTCGGGGAGAGTGATTATGATACTTTTCAGCGATTAAAGCGCGTTCAGCTTCTCGAACCTGAATCTAAGGGTATGCGAAACGATCTAATTGCGGCCTTGGACAAGGCAAGTGGTCTTGACTTGAACCGTTTTCATAATGATCATTCAGGTGGACGATGCTGAAGATGAAGAATCCTACGTGTCTAGCCGTGTCAAGGCCGGTTCCGACAGTACGCATTCCGGTGAACCGTCAGCGCTAGATGTGAAAACAAAGGAGAATGTTTTATCCGAGTCAGATATTGAAACGATGAAATTGGATCTGGCTCGTTATGTGGTCTATCGAGAAGGTACGGCGACAGACGATGCAACTGCCACGGTGGTTTCTATCAGCAAGTTGACTCCGGTTACAATAACAGGCGAGCTGGAAAGCGACTTTCGTAACACTGTCACTGACCATGCACTTCGATATCTCAAGGTAAGCTAATCACAAAGTATTTTGTAGTTCCGATAATTAATAACATTTTACTTTCCTGTTCATACAGTTTTCTTCCAGCATGTTTATTTTTTGGATGGTTTAATTGGGTACATTGTAAGGTCGTATCCGCGTATGCACCGACAGATTGCAGTTCACCAGAAATAAAGGATGAATTCTACAAGGACCTCTCTCTACTGCTCCAGGCGCTCGGTCAACGGACATTGTGATAGTCGCTGGAGACCTCAATGCTCAAGTGGGATCCTTGGACGAATCAGAGAGGTTACTTGGCGGTTCGCATGCAACCCCAACCAACAGGACTGACAACGGAGAACGCCTACT